CCCCCCCCCCCCCCCCGGGTTTCAAGAGCTCATGGTCTCTTTGTATTCATTTAACAAATAAACGAAAGAAAGCTTTACTCGTCGAAATGTAGTACCAATCAAATGTGCTTCAAAACCACATATTTTCCTTTTTTAGAGGAAAGATGTAATTTTTAATAAAAATAAATAAATATTTGAAATTTGAAATTGAAAAACCGAATTCCTGTGATGTCATTCCTATGTTTAATTTTTTATAGAACGCATGGTTTTGACGTCATATCTGTTTCTATACTCTAATAAAACATAGCTTTTYGGCCAATCAGAGCGCGCGTTCGCGAAAATCTATTATAGAAATGTAAATAATGTCAACACAGAAGAAATTATGCCGCAAAAAACGTGCAGACAAAGTTTGGRAAAATTCTATAACGTTGTGATATTTCGCTGATTGCATTCACATCGCCCATAGTGCAGTTCGGGCTTGGTATGCAACATCCAACAACACGTTATCAACCCTTTTTTGAAATAGCCGTATATCAAGAAAATGAGAAGAGCATTGAGACATTATCAGCCCAAATTCCTTGCGCGCATTGTTAGTTTTAGTACTTCTTGATTCTACTTCTCTCATTGCAAGCATTTGTGGACCCACTGTGCAATAGTCCCCTTCACAGTTCCCTGCGCCATCTTAAAAGATAGCCGTGCCTTTGCATCGAAGCGAAACGAATGGTGAGCTTGCAATGATAGAGACGTGTGAATAATTGTCCAATGTGTCTATCATTGCAAGCTCACCGTTTGTCTCGCTTCGATGCAAAGGCACGGCTACCTTTCAAGATGGCGCAGGGAACTGTGAAGGGGACTATTGCTTTGTTGCGTACGAGTTTCCACCAATACATTCTCATTGATTCATTCTTCACTTTTGTCCACAGGGATCCCGCGAGCAATAAAAAGTGTGTGAGTAAAGACTTCAAGGGATTTAAGGGTATTGTTTTTATCTAGCGACGACAACAGRACATCCTTATCCTCGTTTACGCTACTCCAGTCTTTCGTCATCCTTGGAAATCCAGAGAAGACATCAACAATTATCTGCCACGGAGACCCGACTCAGTAGTGAAGAAGACATCTCTGGAATTCCAAGGACGGCTTTCTTCCCGTCCCAGCCAAAGAATATTTCAAACTGTAAAACAATTGATTATAAAGTGTYGAAAAAGCCTCTAAGGGGTTTTGGTCTATTTGATTTATTACTAAATTGAAAAATTGATAATGGAACGATTTTCGTATGAGTGGGAAACATACGGTTCTGACACGGTACGACATTCCATAACATTGAAATGGCTTCCTATGAGAATGGTTATCGTATGAGTGGGAAACTTAGGGTATTGACTTACAGCACGTACACGGTACGATATTCCATAACATTCAAATGGCTTCCCATAAGAATGGTATGGAATGGTTATGAGATGAGTGGGAAACGTACGGTACTGACTTACACGGTAAGACATGACTGAAATGGCTTCCCATTGTCAGTGAATCATCCAATCACAGAGGCAAAGTTTAGTGACGGTAAGTTACGTCACGGCCACGGTTGTTTCCCACTTACATCAGAACTAATTTATTTCCCCCTAATCGTGCGAATTCAGCCTCAAGGTGATTATATGGAAGTAACAATATTTGTATTATGATCATCTGGTTGGATGTACTCCTGAGAAGGACTGTTTGATTGGACTGAAGATGAATTCCGCTTAGGTTGTCGAAACGTCAGTCACTTCAAACAGTCCTTCTCAGGACTACATCCACCCGGATGATCATAATACGAATATTGTTACTTCGATAAACATTCATTCACTTGGGTTCAGACCGTTCTATACAATAAGGTGATTTTAGCTGCAGTAACGTCGGTGCATCTATTTATTTACTTCTGTAGGACGCTATTCTTTTCAGAATAAGATTCTTTGTTTGAGTCGTATCCATATTTGTGTGTCTTCTCGTTCACAACTACATGTTAAACAAAGGATCTCATTCTCCAGGGAAGGATAATAGCAAAGACAAACACGGCATATTTTGTCCAAAAAAAAGGAAAAAAGTGTAATCGATGCTAGTGACTTGCGATTCATTTTTGCCTTTTATTTTGGCATCAAAAACTCGTAGTGAAAAAAAAACACTCTTGATTTCAGGCCAAAATATTTCCTTTAGAATGCTAAACTAAGTATATCTAAACAAGTATATAGTGCATACCATATATTCGTGAAAAACTTTGAAAGAAATTGCAGAAATTTGCAGAAATTGTTCAGATCATTGACTCCTACAAAACTTACTTGCACTAATTTGTACAATTTTATTAGTTAACTTTTACACGAATATACGGTTAGCACTCTACTATATCTACGCTAATATTAATATATCAAAGATAAAGTATGTGATAACAAAAAATATTACTAGAATGACACAGAAGAAAGGGTACTGCGCACACTCGGAAAATTTACGAGCAGAGACCGAACACTTAACGATTTTTTTTATTCTCCCCAAACCTAAGTAAACAAATTTCGTTTTTATGAAGGAATACTCCAGATTTCGGGTGCATTACTTAGAATATACGACAAAGAAACCGGTATACAAAAAATACGGAAAAGATTTTAACGCAAATTTTGTAGTAAACTTATCTTTTTTTAGTATTTACAAATTTATGTTTTTAGCACGCGTTCGCCATTTTCCCGCCAATACTCTGAGCATGCGCAGTACGTTTTCACCGAGTTTATTATACTTAGTGATTTTTAGTCCAATATTTTGTTAATATATTCTAGTTATACGCCTTTTAAATTATTATCTCTTTCATTTATGTGAGATATATCTTATCTTTTATGAAATATTAGTCTTTCAATTCTTACATATTAGTGTGCAACAATGATTTGATGTTCGAGTTTTGGAACTCGTTGCTAGGTAACGTTATATTGATCATGCGCTTCGCAGGTTTTGTTTACATTTCCATTATTTTTGTACAAAACATCAAACTTATACCCAGACCTCCTTGGTCTTGTTTGGGTTCTCAAACTATGAGACCGAGGAGGACTGGTTTACTAATTTTTACTTATAATTTTGACGTTATTTTAAGAGATTTTTTTCCCCATACATTGTAACATTTTGACCTTTTGTGGTCCTGGATTTCTTAATAAATAATCTTTAATGGAATAACTTTATAACACTCATTTGTATCGTTTAGGTTGTTTTTCATGGGTGTGACCCCTAACTCAATATTTTCAGCATTGATTCTACATGAAGTAAATAGTCGAATGGTAAAATATTTTCATATGATTTGAGTGATGCATGTTGGAGATATCAAGGTTTATACTTCCATTAAGCTAATGAGTGTGATGTCATACTAGGCATTATTAAATATACGAAAATTTACTGGGGTAGTAAAATATCCTGTATAAAACATAATTATCTTACTCAGGGTTTATAGAAAGGTTATTGCCAATTTGTTTTTTCATAGTAATCAGTGTTTTGATTTAAAAATGATGACAAATAAACCCAAATGCCTACTATGACAGCACACTCATTAGCATACTGGAAGTATGAACCTTGATATCTCCAAGATGCATCACTCAAATCATATGAAAATATTTCACCATTCGACTCGGTTTACTTCTCGTAGAATCCATGCTGAAAATATTGAATTAGGGGTCATAGGTCATAGGATTTATTGTTTTTCCGTTCCAATTTTGCACGTAAACATCACGTGACGGTATCCATGTTAAATGACGAGAACAATACAATCGTTTCTCATGAGAAAAGATTCAGTTTCCGAGAGTAAAGAGAAGTTAATGTTATGTCATTTTAACATGGCTGCCGGCACATGATGCTGCAAAAACACTATGGAGCATTATTTCTTTCTTGGCAACGCTTGAGAAGATACTTCAGAAAGATTAAGATTCCCGCTTTTCTTTCCCTCAAGCGGCAAACGTGATTTTTTTTTCCTAGTCAAAGGTACGCAGTCCATTTTATTTTATTTCATTTGTATTACCGCGTAAAATTTTGTTTTCATCGAACGCAAACCCTGAAAAAATGAGATTATTTTTTGGAGTAAGAACTAAAGCTACAAAACTATGGAGAGTAAAGCCAAGCTTAAATCGTTTACACCAACGACTACGGAGGAACTATCTGTGCTTATAAAGAAAATAGCTAAGAAGTCATGCATCCTTGATCCAATTCCTGCAAAGATACTGATGGAATGCTTCACTGATCTCTTACCATTTATCACCAGAATAATTAACAGCTCTCTGGAGACAGCTACTGTACCTGTTAATTTGAAATGTGCTGTTCTTGACCCACGACTTAAGAAGGAYACCCTCAGCACTGACGAATTTTCAAACTTTCGTCCAATTTCAAATTTAAAATTTGTATCTAAATGTATAGAGAAGGTAGTAGCAAGTCAGCTAGAACAGCATGTCACAAGAAACAGGCTAGATGAGCCCCTGCAATCCGCGTATAAAAAGTACCACAGTACTGAGACAGCGTTGGTGAAGGTCCAAAATGATATCTTACGAGCTATCGATAACAAGAACTCAGTGATCTTGGTGCTTCTTGACCTCTCTGCTGCCTTCGATACGATAGACCATGAAATTTTACTGTGCAGGCTCTC